TTCTGATCAGTTCGACAATCGCCAATCTGCTAGACTCACACAGATGGTCCACGACTCCTCGTTCTACGCCTTCGAGTAAAAGACCACTTGGAATTACTTTTATCAATGCACCTACCTCTGTGGTAGCAGATGAATAGCGCGAGGAATTTCACAAGCTGTTAGCGAAGACGATTTAAGGAGTAAAAAGCAACCATAAAACTCGTTGGTGACTTTAACGATTTCGTGAGCACTATTTCCAGTGGAGGTTGTAGGATTGAACCTCATGGCTCTAGCAAGAGAAGCGAGAATCAACTATTCTTTCTGAAGCTTTTCTGTGCTGTCCTCCCACGAAATTGCTTGTTTAAAAAGCCAGCTAGTTGACGAGGACCTGTTACAGCCGAACTGTTGGACACATAAGAGAAAGATCATGCCCTCACTTATCGATGCTGAAACCTATTTGATGTATTCACGTTGCCATCTTTCAACGCCGGCTCCGTTAATCGTTCAGTGCGGGCAAAGACGACCCAACAAGTGGACATTTATGTGCGACACGCTTATGTCCGCACATTTCAGGGCTCCCTCCTTCAATACAGATCGTTTTGGATCTGCAATTGGAGCTTTGCAGAGGTTCCCTCACAAAAGTACGAATACATAGTAAGCAGCCTGCTCGAGTGTGCAGAAATCTCCCATCGTTCGCAGTCAGCCCATATTCCGCGACTGGATGTTCTCGCCGTAGCATGGTGAGGAAAGGATAGCACTTGTACAACACCCTGATGTCACTCACTCGGAGAAGATCCTCGTCAACAAATCACATCGGTGGTTGTCAAGAAGTAGCTTTAAAGATCAAGAGAAACAAGTTGTAGAGAGCGGCCGAAATAAAAGAGAGTATCAAGAGCAGCAAACGAGATCTTAGGGTGTAGAAAGTCGTCAAACCATGTCGTCATGCTCTTATAGACAACAAATGAAGAGTACAAACATCTAGATGTTTCATGGAGAATATTGTTCTAGATTTCTACACCAAGCCTCCCGTTCTTAAACTATTGTGAAAAAACGCCCGATGCTGGTGAACTATTTCCTACTATTCTAAAACCAGAAGTGGTAAACACCATAAGAAACATAAGGAAGGGGACCGCTCCAAGCTTGGTTAATAGCCCTGCAGATTCGCTTCGAGTTGGACGTACCGCTCTCCGCATCATTCGCTCTTGCACGGCACCTTAAGCACTCCTTGGAATTGAATAATTTCCCAGAGCAATGAAAATAATGAGGAACAATTTTCCTATTGCAGAGAGGTCATCGGGAAGGCATCTTTGACTACCGACCCACTAATCTTCTATCGACGGTATGGAAGTCGTTCACGGAAATTCTGCTAAACCGCATGGAAGGCATCTTGGTCGAATACCAGCTCGTAGGGCGGGCCGCACTCAGGAAAAACTTTTCGTGCTTGCACACTTCCAAGCTCTCATTCAGCTTACTGAGAGAGACCGGAATACTCTCTTCCTTCCTTTTGTTGAAAAGGCATCATTCGGTTTTGTGGAGATTAACGCTGTCTTAAATGCTCTCGTGCAAGCCGGAATTCTTTTTGCCTACATTCGGTTGTTTAAACAGTGCCCTCAAACACATCAACATTCATTCAAATGTTTGAGCGAAAGTTGAAAGTTCCTGTCGGAAGAGGAGTCAAACGAGGAGACACGAAATCTTCAAAGCTATCCACGGGTACGTTACAGTATGCGACATCGAAGGCACAGTTCACGATAAAAATGGTTCCGAGATCTCCTATAGGATGGAATCGAGGGCCCCTCGTATACCACAGATGAGAAAACGACCCAGTTAGGGCGTTATAAGGCTCAAAGATTGTAATGTGTGTATCCTTGGACGAGTTTCATCGGCCCTGTAGAGGCTGCGCCCACCACAAGGGAACCCATGTAATAATTTCGAATATTTTGTACTGGCCAGCATGGCCATTGTATTATTGACAGCAAGAAGCTCTTCTTTGCAGTTGTGGCTCGCTATAGCTCTTTTTGCAACTGAATACCCCATCCATGTTGTTGCCATCATGGTAAACTCTTCCAACCTCTATTTTCCCTACTTTTAAAGAGCCTCATTCTTCTCGAGAAGGGCTGACTTTCTTCACTACCGATGGACTAATGGCAACCTATACTTTCGCTTTCCAACTGTGTGAGGGTACCTCAGAGTTATCGTGAACGGTGCTTTCAAACCTTGTTCGGAAAAGCGGTTATCGCGTTAACTGTATTAACGTCACTTAAATTAACTCCCCAGTTATATTCCCTTTCTGAGAATACCGCCGTGATATCTAACAGCACTGTCGAAACGGAAGAGATGGTGAGCGAGCTTAGTGCATTAATGATGCGGAAAGTCTTGCAGATGTTGTGCAGATGACTATGTCTAATGTAAGACGCAACTGATGGTGAACCAGTGCAAGACTGGCACAGAGAAGTAGGAAGGAAAAGCTCAACAAGGAGTGGAATCTTACATTATCTGGAAAGAGGGATGAACACGATGAGCTAGATTGCTCGTGAACTAAATTGGGGAAGTCTTGCTGCATGGTCATTTGGGGGTTCAATCCAGGGATTACCAGACCAGGTAGGCTGTCCTAACCTCAGGGCATCTGTCGCGAGTTCCCACCATTCAGCAAAAACCGGACTAAAGGTTGGAGGGCTCAAGGATAGAAGAGATTGCGAGGCATATCCTTTTCAAATTACGCGTTTTAAGTGCGCGTCCAGTGTCGAGGCCTTCAGAAGGCAAGTGCACCAGGGTTTGGCGCCAATTTGTTGTCAGCCAATATCCATCAATCGTCCAGACAGGTAGTCTCCGCTTTGGTCTCGTTCTTCGCATTTCGCATATGCACTTTTGTTCCTGGTGTGCTTCAACGTGAAGCATCCTAAACCTATCGATATCACCATCGAATGTGATAATAAACGATCACGGCAAAATCCCAGATCCCAAGTGACTTTCTCACAGTCTCCTTTCGAAGAGTTCGCACCAATCGTAGTTCGACCATGAAATCATTTAGTAGTTTACTTGATTTCATATCGGTCATCTAATCAATCCACGCTATGCCGTACCTTCCCACATTGCTCTTCGTCTCGTATTTCGCCGGTCGCTTAACTTCTCTACTTCGCATTTGGATGCCAGTCAACTCAGCATATCATCTGGGATTTCCGCCTGTTTTAATCATCCTCGTCCAGATTCCGCCTCGGTCAGGGGATTAAAGGCCTGCACCTTTCCCGCGGTTGGACTGAGGTACTACGCCTGTGGACATTCGCAGGCGCTCTTAACCCCCCTTCATGTGCGGAGGGTTCCAAGAATCCGAACAATGTCAAAGGTGGCTGGCTAATACATACATTCTTGACTAAAGCCACAGGCACGACAACATCGACATTCAGTATTGCGTGCGATGCGATACGCGACTGAAACCTGGTCTGACGACAGAACAATAAGACAGCCTGACCTGAAACCATAAAGACTGCTTGCATTAGAAATATGTTTTCTGAAGGTCAGCAGACTCAGCAAGAAAGCTGTTATGCCCTTGTCGTGTTGAGTGGAAGCTTTATTCGAAGGCATGAGACGAGGCAAAAAGTGAATGCGACCGCACTCATGCGAGTTTATATAGGCAATGTGTTTATGTGATCATGATGTACTATCACTCTTACAGTAAACACAAATATATTGTAGTTCACTTTATGAGGAAGGTATAGTGCATTCGGCCTCCCCAACAAAAACAGTAGAATCAGCGGAACCAAGGCCTACGGTGCTCAGACATGGAAGACAGATCGCGGTTAATCCAACGCTTCAATATATGGCGCATCAGTTGCATCGCTGAGCCGATCATCTACTTTATCGAAAGGATGGCAGGAGGAGTTTTCGCAGTGTGGTTTCTGTGGAACATTCCAAGAACAAAACAACACCACGTGGGCGATTCGTGGGCCAATTTTTTCCAGATATTCTGGCGAAAGAGGCCTACATTGGATGCAAGACGCGAGAGATCAGGCGGTATGAAAGAGATGAGGTCCCCGCTGTGATGACCGCCAGTTGGACGATGTATGGAATATGGATAGAGCTTCGCGCGAAATGTGTTTCATAAAACAGGTATACCTTCACAGCTACGGTGCTTCAACATCATCACTACAGTTCATCCTTACTCATTCATTTCCCTCTTCCCTACAGCTTCTTTCAAATCGTCTTTCAAGCTTCTTCTTTCAAATCGTAGTAAAAAACTACACTCCCCATCTTTTTCTCATCTCATGTGCTCTAGTTCCGCCTGTAGACATAACATAGCCTCATGTGCTTGCCTGCTTAGGTACATATGCCGCGCCCAGAAAGCTTTTTACGCACTTCGCATCAGAAATTTTGCAGCAGGAAAATGAAAGGTAATTCACTTAACAACAAATAATGTATAACAACACTATCATTTATCACTCGCCTTGATTCCTCCTCATTCACTAACTGTGACTTTGAACATTTCAGAAATTCGACTACAATGTTTACACTCACATTCAAAGGATGAGGAAAAATTAACTCGAGCGATAAAATCGTGTCCGTTCGATATGGACGTTCGGCTCTGGGCTGCACACCATTGGAAGTATAGCAAAATGCAATGCATTCTGAGGAAAGCAAAGAATTCTGACAATGATGCCCCAGGTGACATCTAGATGACAGGTGTGACTCCGTTCAGCATGAAAATTTATTCAAAAAAAAAAACAAAATCTTGAGAGATAACTAAGTGCGTTCAAGTGAAACAATTCGTAATATGTCGTATTGTGGTGAATTCATCAACCTGGAAAAATAATGCAGACCTAAGCAAGACCTGAAAGTGGGTCCTATCGGAAATAGGTGAAAGCGAAGCTAACGTCGATGATGCAATGACAGAATTGTGAAAGAACGTTTGCTGATAGTTCTTAGCCGAACTATGCACAGTACGGAATGTAATTTTTGCAGATATATTTTTTACTGTCAACAAGCTCTATTCTGCGCGGACGAGCATCAATAGTCGCACCATACACCTAGTCGCAGTGTGTGATCAGCTCTCGGAGCTTCAGACGCTCATTGTGAATCTGCTCCATAACTTCTTTAAAGCTCACTTTACAACTGAAATTAGGTGAACTTCTCTGACTGCATTATACATTATCCATAAGTGTTGCTTTTAACAGCAAATCTGAGAAAAATAGAAAATTTGGTAATAGAGGGGAGACAATGCAGCCTGCAGTGAGGGAGGTGGGGGTATTAAAAATCCATATGAATATTAGGGAAGATGGGACGCTCAAAACTAAATTGCTTAATTTGAGCCGATCCGTAAGGAAAATAGGACCTTCCTCAACCGAGAAGGAAAGCTGGGGTTGCAGGTCGCGGTTCAAGTCTCGTTAAAGAATAATCGCAGATCCCCACTGTTAATTGTCCCCTCCGTCGCTTCCAAATAGATTCAAGTTCTGGGCTTGAATGCAAGGGTCTATACATTAATCAAACATCAATTTATCTGGCTGATGTGTTGCAACCATGTTAAAGTTCCAAAAATAGGGCTTCCAAAAATAAAATACTTACTCCTCGGTTAGTGGACAGCATTTAGCAAGATCAGAACATTGTTTGTGCCAAAGCTTCGTGTCTGTTCGACAGCTCAGAACCTGTAAAGATATAATTATTGTAAAAGAAGTGTTAAGGGCTTCGAATAATAAACTACATTTTCCAGATCCACCGCCATGAGAGGGTAGGTTTTAGAGTAAAATAGAGGTTGGTGACGGAACCCACCTTCTTTTTCGTACTACTCTTTTTGGAGCCCTTCGATGAGCGTTTTTTTCGTTTGTTGCCGATGGCGGACGGGAATTTGGCGTGGATCAATCGGCACGTTTTCAGCTGAAGATCAACAATTTTATACATACTTTACGACCTTATGGGTTGTATGATGCAGTATGGCCGGTTTCATTTGAGCATATGCCAGGTGCTTGAATAATGAATATGTAGAAAATGCTATTCTTCGACCGTCAATTAGATCGATTAGGGATTTGAGGTCGACAAGGATTTTTAAGTCATCACAAACATCAATTCTACTCGATATTATGCGTTGATAGAGTTCAGTAATGATGTAGCAAATTATTTATAACTTTTTACTTAAGGCGAACTCAATTCAAAAGTTTGCAGTGCCTGAAAAACAAATATTTCTGGTACTGCGACGAAAAGTGATATCCTGAACTGGAATGTTGGCCCATTACCTGCTCATTCCTGCAGATATGGTTGAATAAAGCAAAACGTCATTATAGCTTTTCTGGGATGTTTATGGCGCATACTTATGCATTCTTCGAAGAAACGGTCCACGATAGCAATAGTTTCAGAAGATTTTACTGATAAGCAAAGAATGCCAGGCAGGCTGTTGTTAGGCCAAAAACGGCCTAGGGCGTAGCCAGAGCTCGAAAACTGTCCTGGCTGTTCATCACATGCAGGAACGGGCTGTTTCGGCTGCTTCTGAGACGGCACGATTTGCAAAGAACGCGAACATGGTGATAAAGGAAAGCAATTTATGTCGAAAGGGATACTGGAGACAACTCTCAGCCGTTCATACCCGTTTTGGTCGTTATTCGCGTACAAATCTCTACCTTGACTAGTTCCAAGAATCTTTATACATTGCGAAATCTGTAGACTTAGCTGCTCTCTTCGCAATCAATGCGCTGTTCTACAACTCTCCCGCTCTTTAACTTGAAAAAGAGTACTCTAAAACTATCATGAACTTTGCCTGTAAGGTCGATTCAGCATAGATTACCAACAACTCTACAGCTTTTACACCAACGCGCCACTTTTCGACACCCTCCTCCTCCTACACACAGAATAAGGTTACACCTGTTATGCGTTCAGAAGTTTGCAGAGACCCAGAAGTGTCATGCGTAACAATCACCATGAGAGGCTGTGTGCTGCTCTCGCGGTGTACAACCCCAGCGCAAAACTTTGACTGCTTAGTAATGGGACTGTATACTGTCACAGCAATGTAAAGTGGGAATGGGTAATTTTGTAAGAAATTGAGCGTTTTCATTAGTTTCGTTCTGCTGATTGTCTTTTTTCGTAATAAGTGAGCACATAGTCAAAAAACCGTAGGACTTCCTGGGTTCCTAGTCTCATCCCCAATTGTGAACTTTTTCCCATCTAATCGACCTCGTAGAAAAATAGAAATTGCTTCGTTCAAGGTATTCATAATGCAACGTCATAAGAAGAGAAACCTCTTCAGGATCCAATATCGACTCCGATACTGTCGCATCTTTGATGTTCTTTTGCACACAATCTCGAGCCAATTCGGACCTCCGTAAATGAAGACCATTCAATGCCATTTTGATATCCCATTTCTTGCGTGTGCAGATATCGGTGCTGCTCATTCTGGAAAATGGGGGAATCATATGTTGTCAGAAGAGGAGGTAATGAATAGGCTTAAAAATTTTCTTTCTGCATGGGTGGATTCCATGATTTCACAGGGCTGAAATAAATCCTATTCTATCTGTGTGTGTGTCAGGAGTATATTCAAAACTTATGACCAGTCGTTTGCGTTTTTGTCACATAAAAGGATATAGGATGAAGTTTTTGGCGTTGATCAATCCCGCCTGAGGAGCGCCCTCGCACTCGACTTCCATTCAGAATCGTAGTGGCGTTATGAGTGCATATGTGGCCTATACAATGACTGGCCAGCCGATGCACTAGTCAGCGCTTTTATCCTCCCAGACGAATCTGGTACCATTCAAGTACTCCGGAGGGACGAAAAACTTGTTTGGGCTAGGCGGATAACGATCCAGGATTCGAACCCCTGATCGTGCGTGTGTGTGAGATGGAGCGCCACTTGCCACTACATCACCTCCGCCACATACACGCACCTTTAGGAGCCCTAAGTTTGTATACTGATACAGCAATGTAAAGTAACCGATGTAAAGTACTGATGGAATGCTGCTTCGATTCACACCTACTACATAACCAACCGATGAGCAGGCTCGAGGAATTCGCAAGCCGCTGCTAGGGCGTTGTAAGTGAAACTACGTCAACATTCGAAACAATGCGGCTGCTTTCATAGTCCGCCGGCCGGGCGGCAGGCCGGCGAGCCAGCCGAGGCAGTGTTAGGGGGGAGAAGGGAGGCAGACCGTCGGTCGACGCGGTCGCGTCGCGCCCAAGCTCCGTCGAAGGGCTGTAAATAAAGAGAGACAAAATCAAAAACCTGTAAAACCTTGTGCATGCCCCTAGTTGTTTGGTTTTTGATCTTGTTCTTCTTTGCTTTCAGCCCTGCGACCGACCGTCTGCCTCCCTCCTCCCCCACCACTGCCACGGCTGGCACGCCGGCGGGTCGGCCGGCGGACTATGAAAGCAGCCCAAGACTTGCATCTGTCGGCTGCCAAAAGCGCCGTCCCTGCATCTACCTGCTGACTGCACCGATTATCCTGTGAGATAAATAAATAGTCGAATTAGAAGCTTCGCTCTGGAGGAGGGGCAAAACATAAAATGACCACTGCTGAGGTTTGCAAAAAATCGAACGCATCACGTTATCTCATCACTGTACAAGCTTCGCTCATCAAGGCAAATTCACCCTTATATTTTCTGAGAATTTTTTTACAGGCAGTCTATGATCAAAATACGAACCACCGAAACAACCTATAGACATCCCGGGTGCATCTAGAACTTCCTTCACTGCTTCATCATGTAACCGCTACGAACATCTCGTTACTCGCTTCCCTCCACAGCATATCTGTTCAGAACTCCGATTCAGCGGAGATTTGGAGCTTGTCCTTGAGCTGTTTCGAAGTCAAAGATAAAGTCTAGTAAAAGTCCTTTGGCGTTGGTCAATCCCTGTATACAGACCAGCGCTCTTATCCTTCCAAACGAGTCTGGTACCGAATTATTGACCCCGGAGAGATAGAATGCAGGATTAGATATGCGGATATCCTCCGAGATATGATCCGCAGGCGATGAATATGATAGAGTGCGCCACTTGCCACTACGATACTTCTTTTCTGTTTCATCGATTCCAAGTTCAAACCGGCTACTGCGGGTGAGGGTACCTTTCTGTAAGATATTGGGACATTCGGGACAAACAAAATGGTTGATGATTAGACAGACAAACGTGGTGCTTGACGACTGTTAATCGAAGGTTACATGTAGCATATAAAATCGAGTTCATGCCGATATTTGATTCTTTGAATGTAATATGGACGTGCCGCGGAAAAACATATCTGCCAAAGGTGTTCGAAATTCAGCCCTACACCCGCCTGTGGTAGCAGGACGTTTTATCTACGCAACTATTTGGCACCAGGAGCGCCTGGAAGGATAAAAATTTTGACCTGTTTGTCAGCTGTTCCCCGCATTTCACAGTATGTAAAATGGGCATTCAAACTGAATGCATGGGAGCACTCCACAACGAGCACGGTGAATGCTAGAAACTTTTTTATCTTTCACCATCAGAACTTCGGTAACTCACTGAATATTTCGTTCCATCAATAAGCATTCATTTTGTTTAGCTTCAAGTCGTTGCATACAGTCTAAGTAATCCTCGCAGAATCCCTGAAAGAGCACCTATACGTACATGGCAAATCGAAAAAAAATCACTTATAGCTGTAAGCTAATGAACCTCTGCAGTTAAGGGCAAAAAGAAAGACAAGAAAATTGAATAAAATTTGGAGATTAGCAGTGTCTGCTTGGCTACCAAATATACACACTTATTCTGTAACACAGCGAAAACGGCACAATACTGATACCCTGATGTTTAAGACTATAATTTTCTAAAACTGACCACCGCGCTTTATTCTGTGTGTAAATATCCATTCATATTTTTGGCTCATAGGCCATCAATACCCATGACAATCTACATAATTGAGGAAATCCCATCTCAAGAGATTTTTTTTGTAACGGTTGGGTTTAGGGCTGAGTTTGCCTCTGAGTTACATATACCGTTGACTTCAGCTCACTAAGCTCTACAAGATGGTATGCTGAAATGTGGAAATCTTTTGTTCTGGAAAACTCAGCACGGAAACTATTGGGACTTTTAGGCAATGCTTAGCTTAATTGGTATAACCTGGTAGATAAACCACCTTTTGCTAACGTTATTCATTTATCCGTAGATCTGCGTTCGACAATGATTCTGTTCTGTTTCCACTTCCATCCTCGTGTTCTTGCCGATTGCTTTACAAAATGCTAAGCACACTCACAAAGCATCTTCACACGATTGCCAGTGTCGTCCCCAGTAGGGTAGCCAAGTTTCTGCCCATGCTACTTGGTAAGGGAATGGAGGCGATTCGTTTACCAGAACATTCTGATTATTTAAGATCAAACCATTGAGAAATGCCCAACTGTTGAAACAAAGTCATCCATGAAATTTCTGCAGAACACTCGCTGTAGCCTACGATCGTTATTTATCAAACCGATCGCTTTCGTCGCAGCCTAGTTAGATGAAGTACCCCGTCAGACTTGGGAATTATCATTTCCGGGGTTGAGCTTCTTTACCTTTCGCAGTGCCGTTTTGTAGGGCTTGATCAGTTGGGTTCGCTGACAGAGCCAATTTCAAACAAACCGCTGTCGAACAAAACGAAAGGGGAGACGCAAAATTCCTTGAATTAAGTCCATACTTGTTGTTCCCTTTTTTAAAGAAAATTCACAAAAATATACAACCACAAAAACGTAATTCGCCTATTTAAAGGAAAGTGAATCGATCAAAAAATGAAATGAAAAAAAATTCCAGTACCATAATTCTTTTGACTAGGGATAAACTCCCATATAGCAGCCTAAATACCGCCGCACAAGAAAGCTAAGTTATCACGACACATGTATCTACCACCACTATCAACGCCCATGATTTTCAAAAATGTAGTATCACATGCATATTATGAATATTAGCATCTTGGGATACTTTAGTAAGAACTAAAGGGGAACTATTTTTCACTGTCTGGATGCAGTCCTGTCAGTCAGAGCCCAGATTGCCTGAAGTTTCCACAAGTACACGTCCAAGATGTGCTTCGGGGGAATGCCATGGTGTTCTGTTGACTTTTCGTGAAACCACGGCTGCGAATCTTCTGAACTGCATTGCGCCAGACTCATATCAGTGCTGCCATTTCTCAGTACTCAAAATCGTTTTAGCTGGACAGAAATTTCTTGCAAATCTTTGCGAATCCTGGGGTCGAGGATACCCTCAGCATCCCATCCCCACTGTAGGAACATTTAGCAATTCTGTAAATTTTATCCAGGCACCGAGAGAAATCGCATGCGCTCAAACAAATCGCACCGCATATCGTTGTTTGCTCAGCAATAGTTGGAATGAACCATGAAATCGACGTGAATAGCGGCAATGTTTGTCAAGGCCTGCGACTACAGGAGATCATTTTGAAGTTATGGTGTGTTGAAGATGGGTGTGAAGCAGTAGAGAGAGAAAGAAGCGTCAACTTCGGAAATATGCCCGCTTGTTCGCTTCGCTCCCTATCACGTCTTGGGTATATTTTTACCCACACGGACTGCTCCCATCTTAACCTTAGCTTCATTATTCATTGCATGTAAGAGGTTATTAATCAGAGGGTGTATGAGCCTTATAGACAAGATGGATACCATTAGTTTAAGCTCTCCCGAATGGGAAATAAATGAGGGATATGTCCTGTGTACTTTGGCGAAGGCTCATAGGTAGTTATTGTGATTCTCACAGGGTCTGGCGGAAGCCCCATGTGCACTTTGTTTCAACAACAATATTCACGCTAGCATGACAAATCTCAGATGGACTGTGTGACTTCAGAGAGTAAACGATTGCAAAGTCCCTCCTTCCCTAACAGGAAACGGTATGGGCATTCCTAGCGCTCACACAAAGATATTCATGGTACGATTGACAAATAATCATGAAATGAGCAAGAAAACGAGAAAACCCAACAAAACACTACAAAACTTCGAAACCTAACAATAGGTTGATGCATAATTATTGCGGATTTTTTCGCGGCTTCTTTTCNCGCTTCCCTCAATAGAAATATGTCTAGAAAGTCATCTTCTTCGCGCTACATTATGCTCTATTACTTCGAGAAATGATGGAAGGTGGCACACTCATTACGCGATCTCACCGAAATTCTTGGCGGAGGAATTGTCAGCCAAAGCCAACTGGGGACTGGGATTTGCTCCTAAATCTCCATATTGCCCCACACAAACCCTGTAAGTTATCACGTATCCGATCGTTGAAGGATTGGCTAGCAAACAGGCCTTGCGACGAAATGGATGACTTGGTGGTCGATGTTAAGGCGAGGATCGCCTCCAAAGACCGAAACTTCTTCGTCTGTGGAATCCGGCTGCCTAGCAAATGGGGAGCAATGCTTGAAGTATATGGTGAATACGTTCTGGACTAATTATTTGAGCATTTATTTGTTAAATACTTTCATATTTCTTCTGGGTAAAATCTGCTGAGAAAAATCCGCAATAATTATGCATCAAACTAATAGTTAGTTAAGAACGAGAAGCTGATATGTACAAGGTTCACCTCAGATGCTTCAGCAACTGCGAGAAGTGCACTAATCACTATTGAAATCATCGGAACCACCATTATATCATATCGGCACCTGGAATATACAGTTATTTTCGTTACAGAGTTTCTCTATACAACGGAACACCGCGAAAGAAGCCACCGAAATTGGACGGAACCCAAGCAAATTACTTAATGTACTTATTGCTTTGCAATCCTTTTCCCACCGGATACATGAAAAATCGATTGGGTGGCCGAGTTCAGTAGGTGAAAGGGATGTAAGGTGATTCAGTAGATGATGAAACGATGGAAGGTGAGATGTTCTGGCACACGCCGAATGAAATCGTTGAATCATTAAAAATTATTGAACGAGCACATTCCATGAATATTGGAGAATAAAAACTGTGAAGAGAGAGGGTGCAGCACAATGGTGAATCACAAAGGGTTCGTCATGATGGTATCGGTTGCTGCAAAGAACATTCCAGAGACCTGCTTCGCACTCGATCCCAGTTGCATGTAAAGTAAAAACCAGTGGTAAAGAGGGTGCATGAAATACAATGCACAAAACTATCGAAGATGGACAACTTGGAAGTAGTAACAATCTTGATAGTGGGGTTTCAGTTCTGTTCAACACTCGAGGTTCATTACCTAATTGCGAAACCTGACGCACAGTTTCGCTGTGCTGCGAGTTAATCACGGTCAAGGAACACAAATGAATTACTGTCCAGAGGCTACCCATCAGGTAAAATGGATTCCGTTCCGAAATACCATCGATTTGTTCAAAATCCAAGGGAATTTGAGCTCGATCGAAGCATGGTCCTTAATGGCTCATGGACCTCACTACCCCGTATGATAGAGAGGTTTTGTTGCTCTGCTGACTAAGTCTACAGAGACGAAAACCTGAATAGATTGTTCCAGAAAATAGCGGAAGGTTCTCATTCAATTGAAGAATCAAGGCGAAGCGAAAAACGTGCAAAAGCAGAGTTTCTTGAGAAACACGCATCGTTTCAAGAGAGTCAAAGTTGAAGAGGATTTTTGCGTTCTCGACCTTATTCAAGGTCAAAAGGTTTCGTACAAACTAGGAAACTGCAGTCTCGAAGTGAATACCTGCTTCGACATTAGTGCTACGAGGTGGAGACCGGAAAGGGTCAGGGCGGGGAAGGGAAACTGGTCCACTAGTAAACAGCTGCCGCAATTGCCAAAAGTGGCCGCGATTGAGTGATAATGGTGCGTGGCGCTTTCGGCCACTCTGAATTCCCAGACACCCTCTTTATTCGAGAGGGTGAGTGAGTGCTATTAGGAAAAATTGAAGAAAGCGAGTCGGAAAAATTTCAAGTGATTTTCATATGCATCTCGGAATGAGGTGGCCCACTGGTTCCGTTTACTACACACTTTTGCGAGCTGTTGCGAGATCGAAGAAAAACGATTTGCGAAGGCATGTACTTGTCCTGTCCTGAAAAGGTTTCACAAATTGGGACAAAAACGCCCTATTTGCTTGGTACAACGAAACTGGTTCGCCGAATCTCTTGACTGGGTTCGACCATGAAAATCGCAAGGATGCAAAATTTGGTAAGAGTGATTGCAGTTCAAGGGAATGGAGCTGAAACATCTTTTATAATACTTTTCAGAGGATACTCCTTAGTTTCAGAAAAGCTGTGTGCGCGTGCACAGGAATGATAGAACGTTTCAGGAGGCTTACAGCTCACCCTTGTTAAATTGGGGCGCTAACCGGACGCCCCAAATACACTGACGGCGTTTCTGCTGAGACAATTCGACCTACTATAGACAATTAAAGGCACAGTTCACGATAAAAATGGTTTCCGAGATCTCCCTGTACTATAAATTGGAGGCTCTCCCTTATACCATACCTGCCGCTATAAGGTCGAAAAACGTCCTGGATATATCACAATAAGGGGCCAGATCATGTATTGAGTGAATACCACACCCATAGTGGACGAGTTTCAACGGCTTTGTAGAGACTGCAATATCTCGAAAGTCTTCCATGTAGGAAGTTCAAACAACTTGTTATAACCCATGGCGACAGTGAAAGACAGTTTCGAACAATTTCAGCTTGATATAGTCATCTCTTTGCGCAATGGGAGCAAGTTGAATCTCGTCCAAACACCCTTTACATGCTATTTCCGCGACTTTGATCTCGTACAACCTCCACTTCCACTTCTTTTGGAAAGCCTTAAAGTGGACGGATTTTCTCGCTTTCTTTGTCACTGATGTACTCCTCTACATCAACATTTCCGTTTTCCAGCCTAAAAAGGGTACTCCAAAATTATCGTGAGCTGCAGCTTCAAGTGGCCTGAAGAGTTGCCGAGTTGACACTAGGATGAGTTTTCTTTGCATCACTGGGCAGTACTTGTGTTCTATTCGCATATTACCTAACAAAATCAACGAATTGTCGGCATGAATATCAATAGAGAGCAGAAAAGCCTATCAAGTATGCAGTTGAGTACTGCTTTCCTGATGATGAAGTTCGAGTTTCCGAAATTCTCCCGTTTGTGAACTGGTACTTTTCAGAACCCGCTTATTCAGAAGTGAAACCAAGTAGCTTCCGTGGCCGACTCCATCGCCCTTTTTAGACATTCCCAACTCCATCCCTCAAATTCTAAAGTGTCTCTGCGATACTGACATTTTAACGCTCTTCAGAACGGGATGGAAGGGAACCCTTTCGAGTCGTCCTTCAGTGCACTTTGATGAGTCCGCAGGCAATCGCCAATGTCTTCCATGGAATGTTAAAGACACAGTTCACCATAATTTTGAGGTACCTCTTTTGTTTCAGAAACGTAAGTATAGGTTGGGAATAGATCATTAGTAATGGAGAAAGTGAGAGAATTCGCCGATTTCAAGAAAAATATGGCTCCCTAAAAGTAGGAAAAATTGGGTTGGACAAGATTC